GGTGACTGCATGAGTTCAGGTACGATATACCTGATCTCTTGTAATAATTGCGGAGATGAATAAATTGGCGAAACGAGCAGACCTTTGTGTATCCGTATAAAAGAACACCTAGATGGCAAACGAAAACTAAGACGAAGCACCCCACTAGGCACGCATAGGATACAAAAGCATAGCGGAGACGATTTTGAAGTAAAAGTCAATATCCTTGCAGAGGAGTCCAAACCACCAGCGCGAAAACTCCTAGAGGCTTTTTGGATCAATGCCAAAAACCCTACAATGAATAGCAGGGACGAATGCCCGGAGGTCATACGCGACCTGATCCCGTACGTTCGCACCGATTTTTGATGTGGGATGGTGCAGTCGTCAACCACATGCGACTATAATCAGCTGTTCTAAACTTCCTCATTGGAGGTCACGAAAAAGCAGTGGGTTTTTTCGAGAAGTTGTTGATCGTGTAATTACCAAAGAGTCTTTCGTCTTTTTGTAAGTGTTATTGAAGCGTTTGGCCTAGTAGAATGTATATCAGTATACCCTTCCAGGCTCTGAAGAAGGCGATACTGCCGAAACGTCAGCTAGCGTTGTATTGTATTGTGTTTTTATGGAAGTAAATGTATGCTGTTTAAAAACCTCGCGATTGCTGAACAAGAAAACGACACATTAAAGCTATTGATTGTTACTAATGACTCCGTCACATTATTTCATCCTCTGTTTCTTTATTGATCAAGGCCAAGCTTAAAAAATAGTCGGTCTAGGAATTTTTTCATCTGTATTACCTGTAGTTCTGTTAACCGTCGAGTAACTCTCCCACTATGCCCTAGAAATGCCCGGAGAGGTTCTGCTAACTCGAAGGACACAAAGAAGAAAGAAATGACAGAAGGAAATGACAAGAGGAATGAAGAAAAGAAGAATGACACTTTTCGTACAGGGACGGTTACTTCCAGAGGACGAAAATAATAGACTATAACTAGAGTTGAAATCACAATGCGTTACCTTTTATTTTCTGCCCACCACAATTTTCACGGCAGGGTACTAAGGAAATAGAGTGCTCCTTGAGGAGGAATCAATTTCCTCTACCAGTCAAGATCGCCGAAACAAGAGCCATCGACTAACAACACCAACAGCAACGACAACAAAAATCTATACCAACCTGGCATCAGCTCAAAGCGATCAGTTTATAAGATCATATAAACAAATATATAGAGACAATATAGACATAAATATAGGGCGCGTGTGGCGGTGGTTGGAGGCGCCAGTGCGACACACGTGGAATCGATCTCCGTGCCCATGGCCTACCAAGCCTTCCATCCCTCCGAGCTCGGCAAATTGGTACCAGACTTGTCTGGGAGGATAGCAGCACTGGCTCAATACATCGGCAGACCACCGCGAGTCAGTCGAGTAAAGACCAGATATGCACTCAGTCACCTCCAACGATAGTTAATGAAGTAGAATGCATGCCGCATCGCTCAGAGATTGATCAACGCCGAGAGCTTTCTTCTGTTATCATTATAAGATTTATTCTGACGATTTTCCTACCAAACGCACCATCAATTCCTGTTTTCTCAACATCGAGTGCCGGCACACAGAACACTTCCTGTTTAGGTGGCGTTTCCGCTCTGTGTAAAAATTCTTTCAAAAGTCGAAAACACTCGTCGATAACTGGAAAATAGTACCAAGCAAAAGCCGAATATACCACTGAAATTCCCACCTTGCTTCAGCGCGCACCTTCTTTTTATGTTTATCAGTCTTTGTTTTCTCTCTGCTTTGCCAGTTTTGCCAGTTCTTCTTCTTACCGAACCATGTTGCGTAACGAGGATTCGGACGAATTGCAAGAAAATACGCCTTACGTTCACCAAATCCCATCGAAACGCCACGACGACGTCGAGGAAACGACTGCAACATAAAAAAGGAAATGGACCGACAAAATACACTGGGAAACTACCATAATTTAACAGTTCCAATTAAGCTGTTTCATCGATGTTGAAGAAGGTTGTAGTAATGCACTGGCGTTACTATTTGAATCGCAGAGAGTGGACTTTTTCCGGACAAGTCTGGTATCAGCTCTCCGAGCCCAGAGGAAAAGGATGAGAGGCTTGGGTAGGTCCGGAGCGGAGTCGAACGAGGAATCTGCTCGTGGTAATCTGCACCACTGCCACTGTGCTAAATGCTCCATTACAATGCCATTTAAGAATGAAATGGCGTCATTGGCCGCTCGCCTGTGGAATGACTGAATATTTTCTAACTATGGCTAGAAAAAAGCAGTTCTTGTCAAAGTGGGACAGATTATCGGCATTAGTTCTAAGCCGTGATCCTTACAATCAGAGTTCCAAAATTTCGTAGAAAAACCCGTATTCTATTGGAAAGAACACATACAGTACAATCTAAACCTTTCCATTCGACTAACGAACTTCGCTTCACTTTACTGCAGACTAAAATGCGTCGGTCTCAATGGTTAGGGGTTGGCACAGTCAGACATAGCAGACGAGTGGTAAAACTATTTGAGCAAAAATATGCTAAAGCAGTTCGGTCTTGTTTCAAGATCATTTTGATTTGAAAAACATTATGGTAATAACTAGGTCTCACGTCATCCCGTCGCGAAGCCGCCCTAGACTTCGGTTGGCAGTCGTAAAGTACCTGAATTTCGAAAATGTGGCCTTTAAGTTTGTGGAATCAGTCCGGGAACATAATAATTGAAAAATCTAAAGCACAGAACGAAAACGATTGAAACGACATTGTCTACTACAAGAAATACGGAAATATTGTGAGATCAACAGTTTCATGGAGTAAATAGATAAGCTACTCGCAAACAAAAACCGAATATTTTGGTTTAATTATTTATGTGATCTTATAAACTGATCAGTTCAAGCTTATATCGAGCAAGATCAGTTTATAAAATCACATAAATAAATATATCAACTATCTATGCCGAGGTTTATTGAAAGCCGGTCTTTCGAGTTACGAATATTTTGGGTTAGTTCACAAAAATAGCCTAAAACCTCTAATGAACGTAAACTGCGATCACTTAACTAGGTGATGTTTAGAGTCCTCAAGAGTGCAGGATAACAACAGCACCCATCTTCGAGTGAAATATACGTATTGATTTTTTAAACCTTTTCCCACCTATTCTCAAGATGGTCATCCGTAGGAAACTTTTCGCCTACTTTTGCATAAAGCCAGAGTTTTGGTCACTCACATCTTCGGTTCTTAAACCATATAATCTCCTCGTTCAAAAAAAGAATTAACACCTATTTTGTATAGTCGAAATTTACGAATTCAAACCTGGAAATAAGGTCCCGATAACTGCTCACATTTTTACTCTCTTAGTCTTTAAAATAAGATGTAAGGGTTTGGGTCCAGCTCTAGAGGTCGTGATCACTAAGAAACGTCAACTGAAGCAGACTAAGACAAAAATTCCGAGTGTTTACAGAAGTACTGATAGTAAGCATAGGAATTTTACTATTTCAGAACACCTAAATTTAGCTGAATGCTCGATATAAGCTTGAAAATAACCTCTTCATATTTAGTCCACCTATTTGCCTTTTCTTCACTTTTAATCCAAGAAAACTGTTCACATTATCGATTAAACAAATGTTTGACTCATATTTCTAGACGAGCACGCTTTTCTGGTTTTAGTTGACGACGAAGGATATATTCACCGAGGTGGAATGGAATTGTAACACACTGTTTTCCTACGAAGCTGGAAAGGTAGTAGTGGAAAGACTGTTTGCTGCAGAACTGTAGTTGTGGTCACATAAACTGAGGCTCTACTGTAGTATACCTCCAACGATCAATTACGTGATGAAACTTACTTCAACGTAGTTAAACGATCTTGAAGGCATAACGTTTAGAACATAAAAGCTCCAAAGCTCTCTGCCTTGATCAATCTCTTTAGGAATGCGCCATGTACTCGACTTCATTAAGCATTGTTTGGAGGTGATTAAATACATATCTGGCCTCTACAATGAATCGCGGTAGCCTACCGATGTACAAAGTCACTGCTGCCTTCTTCTCAGACAAGCCTGGCACAAATTTGCCGGCCCCGGACGGATGAAAGGCTTGGTAGGGCATGAGTGCGTGGATTGATTCCACATGTTAGTTGCAGGGCACCTCCGACCACGGTGTCACACGCGTTTAGAACATCACCTGTATCATCTGCAGCCCCATTGGTCATCGAGTGACTCGAGCGCGCGCCAGTAAATCTTCCATTTTTCCCTGTCGTGTACACAAGTATCCCAGTGGATTTTCCTCACTCCAAGGAGCATCATATCTTTCTTCCAAGCCGTTTGTGAAGAACTCTGACCATCGAGTCGGTGTCCATCCTGCAGTACGTTTGACACCGCAAGGAATCCACTCACTAACGGCTCTTGCCCATCGGCTGTCACTCATACGCATTACGTGTCCGACCCAGCTTATCTTCAACTGTTTGGCGTACAGAACGGCTTCTTTGATTTTTGATCGCTCACGCAAGTCGGAGCTTCGGATCCCTTCCTTTACTTGTGTGAAACTGGATACTCCTAACATAGTCCTTTCGACTGCGCGTTCAATAACGTTAATAACGTGATCTTACATCCTGCTTACGAAGCGACCAGGTTTCTAACCCATACGTTAGGGTGGAAAGCACCGTTCAGTCGAAAAGGTGGGCATGGAGGTAAGTGTTCTTTGTCCTCGTCACTACATCCTTGGTGCTCTGAAAAGCTCCCCGACCCTCTCGCTTTATTCTCCTCAACTCTGAAGCTAAGTCGTCCAACATGTTGATTTTCCGACCTGCATAGGCACAACTGGAGCGTTCAGAGATATTCGTTCCGCTGAGCGCGAAACCAATCTGTTGCTCATGCACATCGTTTTTGTGAGATTTAGTCGAAGACCAATCTTTCCACAGGCTTTATCAAAGTCGGCAATAACTGCCGACCACCGATTTTCACTCCCATATTATCCCATGTTCGTATGACGTTATGGAAGGTGGCGGTAAATAATTTTGACGAGATGGTATCGCCTTGCCAAAGTCCTCTTTTAACGTTAATGATAACATCATTATACAATGGTGATATCTTGGTTGTGAAATTTTTCTACAGCTCACGAAGAATCTTTATGTACTGATTAGGGACTCCACGGCTAATCAAGGGCTTCCATGACTGCTTCTATCCCAGTTGAATCAAAGTCTTTCTGTAAATCGATGAAGGTGAGACAGAGCGGTCTTTTGTATTCTCCAACGAGCCTTGTTATTTTGTGGATGTGGTCCATCGTATTAAGCCCTTTTCGAAACCCTGTTTGCTCACATGGCTGTCTTTCGTCTACTGTTCTGTGAATCCTCTTTAGGATGACTCGAGTGAAAAGGTTGTAGACGATAGACAAGAAGCAGATTGGGCGATAGTTGCCGATATCGTGTAGGTCACCCTTAAACAAAAACACGGTCTTGCTGGTCTTTCACTGAGTAGGGACCTTTCATCCAGATAGGTAACGTGTGAAGAGCCGAGTCAGTGTGTTCACGAAGACTGGCAAAAGGTTCTTCAGGTGTTCTGATCTCATCCTGTCCGGACGTAGCGTTGTTCGATTTTTCACCGACGAAATGGCAGGTCGAATTTCCCAAGGAAGAACCGCTGATACAACATATCCATCCTCCATTAGTTCTTATGATAGGCGGTGGACGTAGCTATCGAAAAGATCTAAGTAGTATTTGTGAGTGATTTTCTCCATTGCCTTTCTGGATGCTGTAACTGTTCCATCTGGACGTTGAAGTGCAATCGTCTTGGTCATGTAATTGGTGAAGCTTCGGTGGGCTTTGCGAATGCTTTCGCAGCCTCTGCAGCTTCGACCATCACTGCTGCTCTTTTCTCTTTAAGATCTTTTTTCATCGCCTATCTGCATTGTTTTGCAAGTTCAAACGCTATTTCGCGGCTGCCTGCAGCTCGTGCGATTCCACGCTGGCGAATCAGTTTGAGTGTTTCTGGAGACAGACGTCTCCTGGCAACTTTCGAACTCTCAGCTTTCATAACTCTAACGTGAAGATGTCGAATGAGCCGACCGTATTATTCGCCGATATTATCAACAGCGGTGCCATCCCAACAGCTGACTGATGAATTCCAGTTTATGGTTGTTCTGGGACTTCAGTTTTTAAATTTAGCGTCTATTTCTCCTTTCCGCGCGCGAGAACTAAAATTTTGCACGAAGGAGGCGATGGTCTGACCCTGTGTAGAATTTTGGGACAACAGCGAAAGCGGTTAGGCAGAACCATCGGTTTACTATGACGTAGTCTATTTCGTTGTGATACTCTCCATTGGGAGACTCCCACGTCCAGTGTTAAGGGTGTGGCTTCTGGAATTGCGAGTTACCATGGATGGTCTTGGTCGTTATGATAAGCTCAGATAGCCGCTCACCGTGTTCGCTCCATTCTAATCCGTGGGCCTCAATGTGACGTTCTTCAGACGTTCTTCTCGGCCCAATCTTGGCGTTGAAATATCCAATGATATCTTTGAAGAATGTATGGTCTTCTCTGTAGAACTTCTCCAAGTCCATATAGGACGCTTCAACTTCTTCTTTGTCATAGTTTGATGTCGGTGGGTAACGACGAAGCTTGTCAAAGTCGGTATTGATCCACATCTTTTTAATCGCAAACGTCTGACTCGGGTTGTAAGCTGTCCAAATTAGTCGATGTTAATTGACAAATTCGTGTTGACGAGAACACCGACGCCGCCGATTCCTCTACTGTCGCATGTTCCGAGGAGCAGTATTCTTCTCCGGTGTCACACACGGCGTTGAATGATTGGGTTCGTCGGCCAGGCCAATGACGTCGTACCTTATCCTTCTTTCTTCCTTTAGCACATCGAGGACTCGGATGCAAGTGTGCGTGCATTGTAGGTACAGATCGACACCTTAGTTCTTTGCAATCCAGGTAGCTTCATTGACTCTGAGGTTATAGCAGCCTCTCCGTACTCGTCCTACCCAACGCTGCCAAACTGAGGGCTCTTTCGGGGTCAGGAGAATGAGGGCCGTTTCTTTTACTGCTTTTAGTTTTTGGTACCCACTTATAGCTTGCTGGGCTCTAAACGTGAAAACCGGGTGTACTCACGGGTAGCTTGCCAGGCTCTCCTAGAGTGGACATGGACCTTATTTGTTGGAGGCGACTCCTAACCGCCTCCCATGTACTTCCTTGTTACTTGATTGTAGGCTTTAGCCGAACTGACTCGTAGAATACAATCTGCATAAATTGGAACGCATCCACACGCGCGTGCATGAATACGTCTCGTGAACACAGAAAGTATGTGCCAAATCGGCTCAGCTAAAAAAGGGAATCCATCGCCTGGAACCACCTGCGTCTCAGGGAAGCAAAGGTTGCTTTTGCAATTAACCCCCTATACACCACCTGGGGATGCGCCACGTACCCTCGCGACTAACGGGATCCCTCATATGAGGGTGATCCGTGGGTTTAGAAAATACTACCTGTTTATCCCTGAAAACTCATCTGAAGTTTCTAAATGCTACTTGTGATGGAATTTACAGCATGACAAAGTTCGTCATGGACAAAAAATACGGAGTGCTCATACCACATCTTCGCACTCGTACAGCGTGTTTTATGTGTCGGTTTCGAATTTCAAGAGCGCGAAGTGAATTTATAATAAATAATCTGATTAAATAAATGTAATATTCTTGCCACCCTCCCCCCGAGTAAGCGGGGTCCAATGGACGGTTCTGGTGGACTCCAAGCACTCAAAGAAGAACAGAATTACACGTGATGAAAATGGGAGGGATGTTGAAGCGCCGCCTTTAGAATCTTGTTAAGTGGATCTTTCTGAACATAAAAAGTATAAAATAATTGCTTTATGAGGATACCTGAAGCTTCCGAAACTCCACCCAATTCTTCTCTTCTTCTTTAGCGACCGCTCTGTAAGTGGAGCGATATCAGGGCATACCAAATGAAGTAATCAAAATATGGAAAACTGATATATTTGATCAACACCTCTCATCTTTCTGCTTTTTTATCTTCGCTCTGGCGATGTCCAACTGTTTTTTCTCGATTACATGTACGGTGACTTTTTCCGCTAAACGAAAAAAGGAAACTGTAATGTCTGTTTTATTGCCTGCAGTTAAGCTAGCAGTATTAAGAGGAGAACTGTCAAAGCGTCCGGTCCACGACCCCGTATCACTTGTTAACCCTTTAACCACTGAATAATTCGATCGCCACTGAAATTTCTATTCGCCCTTGTTACGCGTTTGTTCAGTAAGCTTTGCAAGTCTCACAACACGAAGAACGTCGCACTTCTTCCGAGAAACACTTTATTTCTACTGTTCCTGGTGACATTTCTCAACGGTTTACACATTCATTCCCTAGCAGGGTTTTCCAGAGTGGGAAACCCGGTGTTTTCATCAGGAAGCAAAACTAAGAGTAATCGAATAGCAGGATCCACCACCGCCCTGGTATCAGAGTAGTCGCGTGGTTGCAAATGTCGCACTGATCCACAAGGGCCGCGACTGCCCGTGGTGGTGACGACCTGGAGCAGACTTTGGCTAGGCTGACCTTGGTACTCCAGGCAACAACAAGAGCTAAACCAGCAAAATCCCCAAAAAATAGAAAATTATCCTGGGGCCCGTACAACCACTGAAGACAGTTCATCGATGTATCCAAGTAAGTTCCTGGCAACAAAGCAGACACCGATACTTTGCAGAATTTTGCAATGGCACAGGTTTCCTCCTGAATAGATTTTTCAGACGGAAGTGAATTATTTCTTAGGTTGTGTTGCTCTGCTGAGACAAGAACCCTTGGCGCACATCGCAGTCCGACGCCCGCGAACATTCCATCTATGTGAAGTAAGCCATTCTCCAATCAACACAGACTGGTGACTGCATGTGCGGAAAAGCTAGAAAAGCTTTAGCACATGATTGCGGGGTTGTTCCGCTTGACATCCATAATCTAACACGTCAGCAAAGAGAAAATGGCAGATTCTGAAGTACCTACCGAATTAACACTCGTACCCGACCTCTCCCTTACACAAATGATGATCACAAAACAAAGGATAAAATAGAAATGCTGGAATTAGTATAATACACGGCAGTGGGCCATCTTACCATCTTAGGGAGAAATATTTTCACACTTAGAATCTACACGAATACGAAAATGTGCCAAATTTTACAGAAAGTTTTACAGACGTTGAACTCGCACTTACCGTTTTCGCTGCCCTCAGCTAACATGGTTCGTTCTGAAATGTTTTGATGAGGCAGTGTTTAAACTGGGTAGATCTGAAGGAAAACCATAGAGCTCACATTAAGTCTGAAAGATCCAATCAGTAACAATACGAGACCGGCTCTGATTCAGCGGATTATTGAATGAACCATACTCGATACTGATGTTCTTAGGCATTACATAACGATGACAAATGGAGCCTCGAACATAACGATAAGTGTTTGTAACGGTATTTTCAACTTTAGATTCATTGTTGAGAGCTATTTAAAAATAAAAGTGAACTCAGAATCCAGTCACTTTTTATTTACTGCCTATTCTTTTCTAGTGGCAGGGTATGATGTGAAATACAACCACAATGATGCTGAGCATTTGCAAAACTCCGGACCGAAGGTGTCTGCGTTGGCGAACGAACTTGATAGTACTCTTACCGAGGGCTAACGTTTCATCAGTCTCTCAGTCGTTGTTGATAGCACCCATAAGGGCTGAGAGGCTGGTGAAACGAAGGACCTGCATGGTAGTGAACGTGTTAGCCCTCGGAAAGGATACTATTGAGTTCGATTCTATTTTTCCTTCATGTCAGAGTATTATGTAAAATACAACCACAGAGATGTCGAGATACGACCAAAATCCGAAATCTCACGTGGAGTTTGAATCCGCAACAACCCTTTCCGTGTTCACGTGGTATCCATAACACCAACAGGGACACTTGAGCTGCCTTTCTCTAAGCCAGCTTCTTACTCTAACGGTGCTATCGGCAACCATCCGTCAACAGGTGTTATCTGGAAAGCACAAATTGGCACTGAACCCAGTTAAGTTCATAGGCAGCTAAGAATAGGCAGTGAATAAACGTTGAAACATTGTGATTTCGATACAGCTTCAGCTTAGCTTGATCCAGTGCAGATTCGTGCTAAACAGATCACTTCCGATGACGGGTAATTGCTGATGGCACCGATGGAGTAAGAATATGGCTGAGAGAAAAGCAAACCAAGGGCCTCGGATGGTGCGTTGGATAGTGAGTGAGGACCAGGAAAGAGTAATCGCAGGTTTGAAGCCCAACTGGAGTTACTAGTTTTCTTTATAACTCAGGATTCCAACACTACACCTATTTTATAATCTGTAGTTCTAAGTACACAACCTAAAACGATTCTAGGGCCCATTAGACTTTCGGCTAGAATTTAGATGCTGAATATGCCGGGCGATACCACACTTTGTTTGTAATTGCGGCTAAACACTTCCATTCCACGACAATAACTACGCAGAGGTTGTGGTGATGTTTCGTCATTCATTTGTTATCGCAGTACTCGTTGTTTGACTTCGACTAGTAAAATAAACTGGTTAGGAATCCTTCTTGTCTTTTCTCTTCAGTTTTTTTTAGCGAGGTTTCCATCTATTCTGTCGCGTTTTCGGATCGTTTGCTTAAAATCTCAAATCTCAAGAAAACAGACTGCGGTTGATCAACTTATTGGTGTTTGTGGTGTTCAACCAATGTTTAAAGTAATTATGAAACCAAATGAGGCGCCATATGTAAGTATCAATTTTCAGATTTCTATGCCTGTAGCAGCAGTAGGTGGTGTTCCTGGCGGACAGCAACCAACATGCTTTCAAAAGGTTCGACTTGATAAACATCCTTTTTATATCACATATGTTGTGCTTCTTATTTATTCACTTATGTATTTGGTTATGTAATTCATTTAACAGGCGCGTATAGCGTAGTGGTCGGAGCAGCCCTGCAATAGACATGGGAACGATCCCTGCGCGCTTGGCCCAGCAAGCCTTTCACACTTTGGGGTCGGGAAATTGATACCAGACTTTTCTAGAAGGATAGCAGCATTGGGTCGATACATAGGTAGGCCACTGCGGGTCATTGTAAAGGCCAGCTATGCATTTAATCACATCCAAACGATACTCAGTGAAGTTGAATGCATAGTGCATCCCTCAGGGATTGATCAACTCCGAGAGTTTTATTTTTTTATTGACTAGATATGCATACAACCACCTCTAACTATGCTTAATGAAGTCTAATGCATGGCGCATCCATCAGGGATCAACGCCAACGGCGTTGTCCTTTATCCTTTTAATTCATTTAACGTTATGTTCCGCGCTTTTCTCCCATTCGAGGAATCTGAAACCGGTTACTCTAATGAGACATCGCTATATGGCAAACAGAACTTTAAAACGCTACTTTGTATGTAGATGTATGTTGAGGGGTCGGTCCTTCTTCCTCTGCTGTGCCTTGTTAACGTAAATATCCTCGTTTGTACTATTCATCCAGAAGACCACAATCAAGTGAATAGGAGATATATAATAGGTGGTTTGCGCGTGTGGCGCAGTGTTCGGAGGCGCCCTGCAACACATACGTGGAATCGATTCCCGCGTCAATGTCCCACCAAGCCTTCCATCTCTCCATGGTCAGCAAATTGGCACCATACCTGTCTGGGAGGATAGCAGCGTTGGTTCGATACATCGATAGGCCACCGCGAGTAATTGTAAAGGCCAAATATGTATTCAATCACCTCTAAGCGGTGCTTAATGAAGTCGAATGTATGACGCATCCGTCAGAGATTGATCAACGCCGAGAACTTTATCCCTTATTTTTTATTTAATAGGTGGTTCAGAGTCGTCCTCAACAATGGAGCATGATGAAAGAGCGGATAAGTTATTGGTGAATGGTCAACCAAAATGTGTAAAAGCAAAAAGATTGTATAGAAGGAGTGATGCTCTACATTTCTCTCGAGCAAATGTTCAATTCTAGCTCTCGAAGAGGACGATTTGAGATTTTTCCTGGTATCCCTTGAGTCGATGATGACCTTACATGTAGCCTAGGTAGTTTATTACTGCACGTGTTCAATGTTTGGTTCCAGTAATTTCTGGTTATCAGCATTCTTTAGGTTCAAGGACCACACATATGCTACATTTTTTCTTCAAAGACCGTCTCTTGTCGTGGTAGAGATTAGGAAAGGTATCATTCTAACCCACATTCTTGTTGATCTCGCCCATAGGTATTTGGCAATCCTTCAGAATTTCGATTTGGCGGGATTACACCTTTTCTTGTTTTATGGCAATTACGAACGTTGTCTACATCCTTAATATATTTTGCCTTTAATATCTATTATCTTACATTTCTGCCAGGGTTATAATCTTTATTTACTAGGGTGTAAGCTATTATCCAGGTTCGTCTGGGTTTCATGATGGGATGCATGATTGGAGGTGCTACAGGAGTACTCATTGGTGGATTTTCGGGGTTACGAATGGGTCTACGAGGGAAGGAATTGATAACTCAGGTTTGTTTTGTACGTTGGTTTTTTCCCGCTGATGTTTGATGCATTTTTTCTTCAATGTTTGGTCCTGTTTCTGGGAATGATGGGATTATGGAAGGCGAAAAAGTTGAAAGTAACTTGGGCAGTTCAGTATATGCACTTTAGCGGTGGTTAGTGATGCCATCGATCAGTAAGCAAAACGCGCAAGATCGATTGCCGCCCTAACGCTGTCTTCCAGTTCACGTGCGAACGCCTTAACCCGCCTATTTCCTAGATTGCAAGTAGAACGGAGTTGACGAGTTATTCTACGACATTCATAAAAAGAAGATGAAATCCTCATGCAGCAGCCGAACAGGCGAAGTATCCATAGACCGTCGTGGATGTTGGATACGAGGAAACGAAATCCAATGAGAGAAGTACTGGAAGTACCGCACAGTAGATGTGATGACGGACCTTGTAAAATGTAAAATGTATGTAAACTTGAGCAGTCGATGGTTGTTGAATTTACTGGATTTTATGTGTGAGCATATCTATCTGTATCTCTGTATGTCTGCTACTCGTTAACCGCAGAATATTCCTTAGCTACTATGGAGGTGAAACATTCTTTGTGCTCTCAAAACATTTCTATTCTGTTCTATGTAGCATAAGTTTTTAGTCAGCCTGCATTTTAGACCGGAAAGATCGTGGCACAATCAGGTGGATCTTTCGGAGTGTTTATGTCGATCGCTCAATTACTTCGTTGTTAAACTAGAGTGAGTTTTCAATCCTACACATTTGCTCACATTTTTTTTCTTCCGAATGGCTTGTTGTGATATTGATTTTTTTTCATTTGGAGAATGCAGGATATGCGTTCCCCGTTCTTATCTGGTGCAATTCCGTGGCTATCACGTTGAATGAAAGGTATAGAGTCAATGACCTTGTGTGCTTACCTGACTAGTTGTTGTTTATTTCTTTAATTGAAACTTTATGTCAACTGTTGATTTGTTTATGTTGAGTTCGATGATATAAAATTGTTGTTTGAACGGACCACTTTGTCGGTTTCTAACAATGACATGGAGTGGTAGTAAAAGACCAAAGAGGACTACGTCTTGAGAACATATGAATACAAATTTACTGGATCTGAGGTGATTATATAGCTAAAGGATACGGTTTATAGTACTTAAATCTGCAAGTTCTCTATTTTTAGTTGGCAAGACGACCAAACTTATTTTACTTGTCTGTAATAGGTAGTTATTTCATAAAATTTTTGTATGTTTTTCTCTTGTATGGGCGTTGTTCGGCGGTATACAGTGGGAGTTTATCCTCAGTAAGTCTCTTAAATTGTGGACGGGTTCTACATTTCCGTTAACGTATAGACGTATGCTACGATAAAGCTGATTGAGCGACCCGTGTGCTATCTTCTAACCAAGAACAAAAACGAAGAGCCGTACAAAGAAAAGTGTGGCGCTCCTTGAATCCCTCAAATGTGAACGTCGCGAGTGACTACAGTGAATGCTGCGGTTATTGTTGCAAAGTCGAGTGGCTAGATTATTAATGAAACTCGATGTCTGCCGCAAAGACCACTTAGTTGGACACAGTTTGCTAGCTCATTTGCCGGGAAGTTCTTTCACCAGCTCTAACATTGCTTTAATGAACTTTGGTAACTGCTTGTATGTTGCACATTATGAGTGTACCGGATTATCAATGAATCGCCACCACTGGGTAATTCCTAAGGACGAATTCACACATATATGCATGGGTTTGCTTGCATATATGCGAATGGTACCATGTACGTCGAAGACCAAAATTTGTAGTCGAATGGAAGTTAAATAATATGGTTAGTAGTGATTCCCAACAAATAATTTCCTCATAGGAAAACTCGGGAAAATGCCTAAGAGGATGCCCAAATCTCTCACAGTTCACCCCAAGTGAATAAAGTACTGAAAGTAACTTTTTCACGAGTGAATGTTTTAGCAAACAAGTATTGTAGGAGTTACAGTATTCTTAAACAAGCACGTGACATAGACCACTTGAATTCCTAACAACAAAGAAGTGGTATGAGAACTCTCGGAAATGATTTTTATAGAAGTGGTTCTTTTAAACACACGACATAAATTACTATAGCTGTATTTTAACTACTGATCTCCTTCAATGAGCTATTGTCAGCCTGTTGTTCGTAAGGCTGTGTTGTATGCCACGTAAGGCCAGATTGGGAGGTCAAACCAGCAGTGAGGGCTAACTTATGCTTTTCCAGGTAGATGGATTCAAGGGATGAACTTCCTATTTCTGAGGTGCTCGATTGACATCTATTACATGGGAGGTACTTAACAGTGGTTTCAGGTAATAAACTAGTTTACCTTTGCTTTGGGAGAGCTTGCAAGCTAACCATGAAAACACCCAGACCACAAACCAAATTGTAAACATCCCGCGCTGGTTTGCCGACAACAAGGAAAACCGGTGGTCTTTAGTGAATGGCTTCGTTGAAACGGCTTAATACGAAGGCAGCGCTAAAATTTCAAGGTTCAGGGGGTTCAAAATTTCAATACTAGGCTCTGTAGATCTAATATGATGACTTTCTGTACCTCACAACACATTATGGAATTGGGATATTGTGTAGAGGACTTGATCATGATTAAGATTAGAAAGATAAGCAACGGTGTCATCCGACCGGCAAAGACGAGAAAGCACCATCTATTAAAGTGTTTATCATACGAAAGAGGAACACGACTGATGACTTCCGAGCAATGATTATACTTATGAGAATGTCTGAGGAATTTGGCATGGCGATGCACAGATTGAAATGGAATGAAAAGTGGAGTGACTATCTGATTTTATGATGACTGAGATCGTACACGTTAACTCGCAATATCAGAGATCCATTCTCAACGTCGGTTTATCAACTCGCAGTGTATCATTAAGAAAAACGTATCCAATTAAAGTAGCCTGGACGCTTTTCTTTATAGGTGTTTTTTCAAAGTGGAAAAGCTGGACCAACACCTCGTTTGTGCACGCACCTTCTCTCGTAAAAAAGAAAGTTGCAGAATTAAAAGAGTAAACCTCCACTATCAAAGCGAATTAGGATTTGTTCACATGATTATCGACTCTTAGAAAGACTTAATTATCAAAATCAGGAAAGAGCGTGGTCGGCTTACACAACGACGTAAAGAGTGTTAGAAAACGAAGAAATTGAAAGTTACTATGAGACTCTCTCTAGTAGTTCGCCTAATGATATGCTAAGAAATCGCACAAGGCTGAAGCACTGGTTAACTTATGTCCAAATTTTGGTGCTCTATCAAGTAGCGATATGAAACGTTTTAAATAGGAGTGAAGCAACGATATTTGTTGAATCCGGAGAGTGGAACAAACACATCAATAGCGCCAACGGGACACCGCTAACTACAGTTCCACATGCTTACCTCCTGGAATACTTTTTGTACCTAGAAATCCTGAAAAAGTGCTCACGTCTGATACGTCCCCGATTTCCAGCTTGTCTACCGTGCCTCATATTATCTCAAGGATAGCTGTATCATCTAAACGGTTCTCTTATTAGCACGTTGTCTTCCTGAATTCCCTATTCACGCGTAATGGTTGAACATTTCTAGATGCGTCAGCTAAGTGCATCAGGTTCGACATTATCAACGATCTAAATTCAAAGTTTTGAGGAAAAGTAGGCGCTTGCAAAGGTTTCAACAAAACCGAGGATATAGTGAAGAGGACAAAAAAATTTGCGATTTCCGCGCCTTTTCGTCTCTGATTCATTCGACCTTAGCCTACATGATAGAAACGTCAGCATTACGCGTTACGTAAGGCACAATGAAGGATTTTTGAGCGCTATCGAAACCATTGTTGATAAAATACCTAGAAATGTTTCGTACCGCATATCTGAGTGAAAGACTACGAAGTTACGACAGTGAGAAACCGGACAGAAATACGTCGGGAATCAAAACGAATAAGCATTCACTTCTTCTAATTATAACTATTTTTCGTAGATGAGGACAAAAGTGGTTACTACTTCCAGAAATCGAGGGTTTTGCGAGCTGAATTTTTAGATTCCCATACGAGGATGGCGAATTCGACATCGAAACCATCTCAGTTATTCCTCTGTATCTTATCCGTCCATAACTGAGTATTTTGCTTAACTTTAGCAATCTCGCGACGACGTCTAATATCCGGTTTGTCGCGGACCGAATGACGCCTAATTATCAACCTTTACGGACTTGCTGGCTTTTTTTCAGAAATGAAAAATGATTTTTCGGTAACTAGAGGGCTTTATAAGTTGTGAACATGAGCCAATTGTAGAAAAGACTTTGATCGATAGTTCTATGGTTATGAACTATACTTATGGTGTGTCACTATATGTTGCTATGGTCCCTCATACACTAAAGGACAAAGGATAAAGCTCTCGGCGCGCCATGGATTCGTCCTCATTAAGTATCGTTAGAGACGATTAAATGCATATTTGGCCTTTACAATGGCTCGCGGTGGCCTACCGGTGTATCGAGGCAGTGCTGCTATCCTCCCAGGTATAAGTCTGGCACCAATTTGCTGACCTCGGAAGGATGGAAGGCTTGGTGGGTCATGGGCGCTGGGATCTATTCCACGTGTGTGTCACAGGGCGCTGGGATCTATTCCACGTGTGTGTCACAGGGCGCATTCGACCACATGCGTGCTAATAAAAAAAAACAGCGTATCGTTCTTAACTTCAAGAATCGTAAGAGAAAATTCGCATGTCACGTACTATACTTAAGGCTTTGTTCTTGTAAGAACAGTTGAAATAAACTAGGAAAAAAAAAATGAAACCTGTAGAAGTCTTACTGCTCACTCCCGCAAAACCGTTATAACACCTGCCGCTTTGGCGTGACTGTTAAATTTCCCGTCTAGGTGTTTCTGTGCATGGATGCTTCTCCCTCGCACGCTTTATAAGCATTTGGGAAAACAGTACCACAGCTCGTGCAATCGTAGTCTCTACCACCGTTAGGGTAGTCTACCACATGCTATGCAATTTTCGTTGTGCATAGGCGATCTTTTAAGATGTTACGAACTAGCTGGCACATTAGAGTATTCGGTGTTATTTCAATCACAGCTACCGATTNACCACATGCGTGCTAATAAAAAAAAACAGCGTATCGTTCTTAACTTCAAGAATCGTAAGAGAAAATTCGCATGTCACGTACTATACTTAAGGCTTTGTTCTTGTAAGAACAGTTGAAATAAACTAGGAAAAAAAATGAAACCTATAGAAGTCTTACTGCTCACTCCCGCAAAACCGTTATAACACCTGCCGCTTTGGCGTGACTGTTAAATTTCCCGTCTAGGTGTTTCTGTGCATGGATGCTTCTCCCTCGCACGCTTTATAAGCATTTGGGAAAACAGTACCACAGCTCGTGCAATCGTAGTCTCTACCACCGTTAGGGTAGTCTACCACATGCTATGCAATTTTCGTTGTGCATAGGCGATCTTTTAAGATGTTACGAACTAGCTGGCACATTAGAGTATTCGGTGTTATTTCAATCACAGCTACCGATTTCTCCGTTCTGGCTCTGTTTAAACTGCATTTTATAGCAGCACATATTCGACTGGAAATAAAGCTCAGGATAAACGGGATCTTATTCCTGCTAGAATTACCGTTTCGTAGATTGGATTTTGCCTGTCGCGAGGAGCTCCAGTTCCATATTCACTTGAAATGGCTATTTGGAGCCCCAGTTCAGAGATCTTTCCTTCTGCTCTCTTCCTGTGAAAACAGTAATGGCTGTTCAACACGCGTTTC